CCCCAAAACCCCAAAACCCCAAAACCCCAAAACCCCAGAAGTCTTGCCTAGATTGAACTTAGTTATGAACTCTTCTTTGCGATGTATTTCTTGGTCCTTTCAAGGAAAGCATTTGAGATAAATCTCTGAGATTTCACATACGATTTCTCTGCTTTCTTGATACACTTGCTGATGAACTTTGAGATGTTCTCACTCAGGACTAAGTTCTGGGCTAAACAAGTAGAAGCATGTGTCATTGACTGACTTAGCATTGCTTGGGATTCTCTATCTGTGGCTGAATTCAGCTCAGTCATTACATTTACTATGGATTAACAACAAAAATTACCTATTTGGTCAAACACTCTGACCAGACATTCTTCAAGCCCAGCTGTGAAGGTAGGGTCACCTAAGAAGATTGAGTCATTCGAATCGACTCTGTTTATATTGTAAGGCAGCTTATCCTGAGCCTGGGTCGATAAATAGTTGAATAAAGCAACTAATATTTTAACCTTATTCAGAACAGATTTGTTATTCCACACTTTCTTCTCTATCAAGTTCATGATTACGTAAGTCGCCTCGAAGTGATTTTCTGGGTTTGAAGGCATTACTACTAAGAATCCAATCACGTTAAGAAGGTGTTCTGTCATTTTAGCCTCTGCTTCTAGGTCCTGATTGTTCTTGTACTGAGCATTAAGGATCAATAGAATAGCTTTGATAATTGAATCAGTCTCTGATATGAGCCCATTCATCAATCCTACTTCAGCAGTAAGCATGAATAACTTGATTTGGTCCTTGGAATCAAACAAACTTGGAATTGTGATATGAGCATAGGCAATACAGGCCTTGACAAAAGCCATAGTCTTTTTATTGTGTTTTCCTTTAGTAATCTTATTAGCTTGAACTGCAAGTCTCAAGACAGCGTATATTAGGTACTGAGTGACCTCATCCAAGTTTGTGAACATTCCTCTAGCATCTGTAAAAACTTTGAGCATCTTCTCAAGGTCTCTTCCGAAGTCTATTTTCTTAATCAATGTGCAGATTTTTTCTGAGAGTCTTTCAATTTCTTTCTTGTCACTCATAGAGTCAATCTTATCATGAAGAACTTTTGCAATGGTGAGGACGGTATGCATACAGTACGAGTCACTAAAGACATCATCTTGTTTGAGATAATAATCAACCATGATCTCACACAGCCTAAGCTTGATACCTGATGAGAAGTAGTTCAGCAAAGACATGAAATTTTCAAGCCCAATTATTTCTGAGAAGTCTTTCGCAGTCTTCATAATGATCAGGATCAGCTGCTCTAAGCATTGGTATAGTTCTTCATCATCCCCAACCTTGATGTAGTCTCTGAATTTCTTGAAGATCTCTGAGATGAAGGTATTGACGCTTTCGGATTTCATATTCTTGATAGCAAATTCAGCCAAGACAATAGAGACTCTCATGAACAACAAGGAATCAGTAGTCTGAATCAATTGCTCCCAGGAGTAGTTCAGGAAGGTCAGCTTCATTTCACTTCTTCTTGGCTTAGACTTGATGAGAGCTTTACCTAAGCATCCTAGTAAGTTGATTCTATCATCAAGCTCGAACTTCTTGATCTCTTCTAGGATGTCTTCCGCAAACTTACAAGTGAAGTCTGCAGGGAAGTGAAGAATTATACTACTGAGATAAATTGCCTTCTTAGTATTTTTGTTGTACATCTTAATAGACTTCTTATACATCTTTTCATTAGCGTTTTGTCCAGCACAGTAAAAAAGCCAATCAATTGCAGGCTCGAATAGCTTGAAGTACTTATCAGTATCAAGGTAAGGATTTCCATATTCTGCTGCATAGTTCCAGTGCTTGTACATTGCTTCTATCATTGTGAACAAGTAATTTTTTGCATTAGGATCTATAGTTTCTCCCCATCTAGCAAGGTACATGCAGGTATAGGATGCACTGAGGGGTTCTGCAATACCTCTGACCATCAGAGCTAATCTATCAAGGTCACTGACGGACATTCTTTTGTTCAAAAATCTTCTACTACCAACAAGTGTAAGCTCAAGGTAAACTCTGGGTAAAACTTCTCTGATACAGGCACACTTGAGGAACCAGTTATTGGTCTTCTGCTTAACAAAATCTGGAGTTGATCTAAAGTCAATCTCGTTATCAATGACATTCTTCCAATTTTCGACTCCTTGGTGTTGAAGAGACAGCTTTTTCATTCTTTCAAAGACCATGTTTCCAAAGTCATCAAGGATCTCTGTTATGATCAAGAACTTCTGTGGGTAAAAAGCAGGGGTCTCAGTATCGTTCAAAAGCTTAGCACATTGGATACAAATCTTGAGGCAAGCTACCTTATCCTCCTTAGTCCAGAACTGAGTCATCTTTCTCTTAAGCTTCTTGAACTGGTTCTGGAACTCATCAGCACTAATGGATGCAATTTTGGCACCCTTGGAATTCTTCTTTTTCTCAAGTTGGTCTAGTCTGGATCGGCCCTTTCCCATACGGATGGGTCTGTCGATGTCTTTGTCACCACCTTCATTGATGAAGACTTCCATGTCACCGAATTCTTTTTGGAAATCTTTCATAATTTTCTCTCTATTTCTGCTCCCAGACACCTTTTTCTTCATTATTGAGTTTAGAGAAGATGTCGTCTTTGGATTCTTCTTGTTTGGAACTGAGGTCTGGTTGGACTAGAGGATTGGCATCTACAAATTTGAGTAAATGAACAAAAATTGATGAAGGAATGCTCAGAGGATGTTTTAGAGATGTTTTAAGGTGCTGGAATTTAGAAATGGACCCAAGGATATCTTTTTGAGAAATTTGAAGATTCTTGAAGTAAGTTTTGGTGTAATTTTTTCTTACCATTTTCATCTTTCATAAGAGGGTGGTTATTTTTCGCATCTGCTGGTCTTAAATCTGTTTTGTACTTTCTAAGTTCATAATTTACCTTTTTAGGCACGAGCTTCTCTCCAATAGCACTCATTTTTATTTTTCTATTGTTATCTTATACTTTGGGGTTTTGGGGTTTTGGGGTTTTGGGGTTTTGGGGTTTTGGGGTTTTGGGG